TCTCTCCCACTCCGGCTGCTTGTGTTCCCTCTCTCACTGTATTTCTCTGTGTCAAATAAATAAATAAAATCTTAAAAAAAAAAAATAGATACCTATAGACCAGCAATTCTTAAGTTAGAATGTCATGGATTTATGATACCAAAAATTTTTGAGCTTATGTACATAGAGATGTACATGTCTGTCAGGGGTGCCTGAAATATTTAAATATTTCCTATACAAGGAAAATGGACATATTTTTTAAAGCTATATTCATGATACTTCCTAACACAATTCTCCACTTCAATCTAATCAGGCTTTTTCCTGTTCCATGAGTGTCTTATCTCAGTAAACACATATAAGATTGAGTTGAAAAAATTGAAGTCATCTTTATGAAGTCTCTCTCACTTTTCTGGCTTAGGTAGAAATGATAGAATTGGATGGACCAGAAGAATATCCAGCTCAGAAGAGATTCTTCAAAGTTTTCCAAATGTTGGACACAAATTTAAATTTTAAAAGTATATTAACACTGTAATAAAACTAACATGTGCACTCAAAGTGTGTTATACCAAGTTGTAAACACATCATGAAACAAACACATAAACACATCATGAAACAAAAATAAACCATGCTATTAGTTTATATTTTTATGGACTGCTGACTAAAGTTTTATACCAATATTCATATACATATTGGAACTTCTTATGAGTATGCATTTTTATTTTTAAGCTTTTAGCTGAGCTTTTTAAAAACTTGAGTTCATTATGATATATCCAAATCAGGTTATATAAGCAAGAACATTGCTGCAGCATGTATGCCTCGTTGAATAAATACAGACTCGACGTAGGGGCATCTCTCTTCCATGTATCCTTCTCACTCCTTAACAGTTTTGCAATGGCAAATTAATATGATAATATTGTATTAAAGGAAGTTTTCTTGCTTAATTTTAGTTTTGAGTATTTCTTGCCCATATTTCACATTTATGCCCAGAAACATGAGTAAATGATTAGATATACTCATTCAATCTTGGAAACAAGATTTTCTTTACTCTTCCTTCCTTCAAGCTTCTAGACCATTTTTTTTTTAAAGATTTTATTTATTTATTTGACAGAGAGAGAGATAGCAAGAGCAGGAACACAAGCAGGGGGAGTGAGAGGGGGAGAAGCAGGCCCCCTGCCAATCAAGGAGCCTGATGCGGGGCTCTATTCCAGGACTCCGGGATCATGACCTGAGCCGAAGGCGGACGCCCAACGACTGAGCCACCCAGGCGTCCCTAGACCATTTTAATTGCAGAGATCTTAATGTTGCCAAAGCCAAATTTACTATTTTATTTATTTTTTTAAAGATTTTATTTATTTATTTGACAGAGAGAGACAGCGAGAGAGGGAATACAAGCAGGGGGGGTGGGGTAGAGAGAAGCAGGCTTCCTGCAGAGCAGGGATCCCAATGTGGGGCTCATCGTGACCTGAGCTGAAGGCAGACGCTTAACGACTGAGACACCCAGGCGCCCCCAAATTCACTATTTAATAAAAAAAAAAAAAAGGTTGCCTTTGGCAATTGCTTTTCTGTGGTAATCAGAATTGTATCAATATTAGAGAGCCAAAACAAAGTACAAAAATGACGCTTTTGAAGATGATTTAAAATTGCAACTGTCAGGGGTGCCTGAAATATTTAAAATATTTAAATTTTAATTTAATTTTAATTAATTACTTAATTTAAATTAAACTCTAGGGTCAACTACAAATATTTAGGTGTTTTTGTGGTTCCCAAACACATTACCAGGTACATGGTATGCAAACAATATGCTTTGAGTTGAATTATTTGTTTTTCTCACCTTTCAAAATGCTAAAGAACTTTTTTACTCCCCTAAACTATAATCATAAAATAGTAAAGTTCTTGTTTAGTAATATGTTAAAACCACCCAGTGATATATAAAGGTGGCTTATTGCAGGTGTGTTTTCAACCAAAATCAAATGGAGGCTGAATAGAATCTACTTTTCTCTTATTCTATTTTCAGTACAATTTCTTTTTTTTTTTCTTTTTTCCATTTTGTTCAGTACAATTTCTAAATTCAGAAACTGTCTGCAGTGCCTACAAGAGTGCCTGGCACACAGAGAATAACTTGTTGAGTAAATAAAATGAATGCTTATATACAAACTAAAGGTGTTAAGTTCTCTGAGAATACTGATGGTATTTTGTACTTCCCAATCTGACAGTGACATGTGCAGTGCTGAGCATGACAAGGACTCAGTACATGCTTACTGATCAGTTATGCTCATCATTCACTCAAGAAATATTTTTGACTCCAGCATGTGTGAGGTTGTATACTTTGTGCTATGGGAAATAAAAAGTTGTGAGACAGTCAGCTTTCATGGAGTATTGAACCTAAAGCAAAAAATTATAGGGAATTTTGTCTGTTGTGATGACTTATATGGCCATGTGCTCACAGAGCTTATGTTCTTGTCAGAGGAAATAACAAGAGGGTTAATGTTAAAAATGGAGAGGAAATAACAAGAGGGTAAATGTAAAATAGGTTAAAAACTAAGGAGAAAAACAATAAAATAGGAAAGAGGGATATAAATTACCAAAGAGGAAAAGAGAAAGTAAAGTTATTTAATTTCTCTTGCCTCCATTTCCTTAATTCTCAAAAAGAAAAAATAATAGTACTTATTTATAGGGTTGTGACAAGGATTAAATGAGTTAACATATGTATGTATAAAATGCTCCGTGCTGTTCCCAGAAGATGGTAGGAAGTCAGCTAATATTATTCATGCATTTGTCTAGAATAGCTTTAGAAGAGTAGTCATCTTATTTTCATCGCTTACGAACTTCTTTTATTGAAGGATATACTTCCAAATGGTTTTGAACTACTTTATATACAGGCTAAGACTCCCTCATCCATATCTTGCTGCTTTTAGCTTCTGCTTCCAATGCACTCACATCTAATAATACTTTCTTATTGAAGTGAATCATTGTCCTCCCATAGTATTTCTTCTAGAAAACTATTTGCTTATCTGGATGTCAGGTCACTGTTTTCTATTTCAGGCATGAGGCAGGCATCCAGATCTTCCTGTGGAAAATATTCATTAATGCTTTATCACTTATCGCATCTCAAGGTTAAAAGGTCTGACAAAATAAGACCTTTATGCTTGCTTACCAGCTTAAAAATATATATGTATAATATTGGAATTGTTATTATCAGACAGAAATGTAAAATCTTTAATATTAATCTTTTGGAACTAAGATCATTTGCATGGATGAGGTGAAGTTGCAGGTCTCCTACGACCTTTCTTTGTCTAACTTCAGTGCATCCTTAAATGTATCCTGTGTCCCCCTTTCTCTGATCCCTGAAAACTAGACTAGCTCTTTTTTTTTAAGATTTTATTTATTTGACAGAGAGAGATAGGGAGAGAGGGAACACAAGCAGGGGGAGTGGGAGAGGGAGAAGCAGGCTTCCCACCAAGCAGGGAGCCCAATGTGGGGCTCAATCCCAGGAGCCTGGGATCATGACCTGAGCTGAAGGCAGACGTTTAACGACTGAGCCACCCAAGCGCCCCTAGACTCGCTCTTTCTTTGTACTCCTTTAGCACTCCATATTTAGCCCTATTGTAACCAGTGTCATTCAACGTTGTAATTACCTGTTTCCCTGATTGCCCCACTCCCTGCCCTCCACCTCCTAGGCATGTGTGCTCTTTATGTCCAGTTCTTTTGTATCCATTACTGTGCTTCACATGTAGTTGATGCCCAGTAAATACTTAAAACAATCTACTATCTGGAGTACCTTTAATATATCAGGATTATAGGAACATAGTTATTTAATCTTGGTTCCATATCCCTTAGTTGCTCCTTTGTCCCTCCTGGCTGCTTTCTGAGGAAAAGCGATGCTCAAGCATATGTACACCGTGTGCTATAAACATTCCCCTGTCCTGCTCTGGCCTAAAACCAAAAAGAAAAAAGAACAAGTAGGCTGGCTATCAGGAAATACCCAAAGATGGGGGAGCACCCTGTGGAGTAATTATGGTCCCGGATGTGGTTCTTACTCTTCCAATTAAAGAAAAAGTCGAGGGTGCCTGGCTGGCTCAGTCAGTAGACATATGACTCTTGTTCTCAGAGTCATGAGTTCAAGCCACATGTTGGACATAGAGATTACTTTAAAAAATAAAGAAAATAAAGAAAAAGTTTATTTGCCATTGCTCTCATGGGTGATGGGCCTCTAGGTTCTGATACAGATCACCTGTATTTACAAGAAATTAACTTATAAGCCAAACATAACCCATTTGTCTGTTTATTTGCTTTCATTGACTGAAGTACTTGTACATGATATCCAAATTATGAACTTAATGATATCAAAGCACCTATGAAATCCAACAAAAATCAGAAGGTTGTTCATTACCTTGGAAAGAGAACAAAATGAGCTACACTGTCCCAAGGATTATTTTGCCCTGACTGAGAAAGAACCTTGTCAATGTCTCCTTCATGTCTAGGAGAAAATAGAGTAAGGAGTGATAAGGCCTCAAGTACACTTTTGAAAGTTCTTATAATTTTTTTTTCTTATTTGCTGAAAGGAAACAATGTTAAAAGTCGAGGGGTGGCATTTTATAACTCAATAATGGTAATGTACAATTTGCTTCCATAATTCTTTGATCCCAAGATGAGTTCTTGAGATAATGCTAATGTGGTATTACCGATGATGGGGCTAAGAAAGAAGAGGCGATAGAAGATTAAAGTTGGGTGAGAATTCTGTGTACTCTCTGCCTCCTCTAACTCAAAAACCACCATGGTTTCGGTCCTCTCAATTTTATCAAGAAAATTAACTGTTTGCTCTTGGTTTTAGCTGCTTTACTAGCACTCCTTCACATACTAATAATGCATGATGATCCACCGAGAGTTCATTCTCCACCGCTGTGAAGAAACTCTGAAGTGTAGGTTAAGTGGTCATTTAAAAAAAAAAAAGTAAGCTGTACTTCTTGTCAAGGGCTACAGTGAGTCCTTCAAGCCTTATCTCAAGGTCCTTTCTATTCCAGAGGTTGGAAACCCAAGTGCCTACAGGGGCCAGGCTGGTGGGAATGAAGCAGAAAGCTACTGCACTGAACTGGAGAGCCAAGTCCTTTCGGAAGGAGCAGCCACTGCTCCGTTCCAGATAATTGTTGCAAGGCGGGCATGTTGACCTAGTGTTACTACATTGTCCAGGTTCTCAGGTAAAGCAGGAAATACAAATGTTCATGTGAAATCTTTTAATTTAAATATTGTCAACTAATTCACTTTTATTATTATTCTCGAACTGTGTACGTGCCAAACACTGCCACAGGTGGGATTTGGCCCAGAGTCCTCTTGTTTGTAACTTGGTCTTGTATTTTACTTAACTATTTGTTAAATTAGAGACTTTATTTTCTACAGGTTTTGCTTTTCTTCAGCACGTTCTTAAGATATACTCTATAACTGGTTTTATGGTTCTGAAACTCCCTCCCTCTCCAACCTGAATACTTAGTGCCTCAGCTTTCTTTGGCTGCTCCATTTTCTCTGCCTCCCTCAGCATTCCAGAGGCAGTCCAATGCTAAATGGAGTTTCCTTGAGACACTTTTCATATGACACCACAAAACATCTGCAGGTATTACTACTCATTCATTTTGTTCCTGATCTGTGGGCTACATAAACACAGTGAAAGTTCACTTATTTCATGGGACTGAGAGATTGTATGCTTTGGACTTCTGTTTTTAGAATCCACACAGAGACAGTACTCCTCCTCTTCCTTCTGGAGAGACCTTATTAGTTCCCTTTTACATTTAATTACATTTGTTGGAGGCATTGATTAGACCTGAGTGTTCCTACGTATTGATACATATTTAGAGACAGTGTCTTTGGGTGGGTTTCTACAATGGCTGAGGAGTCTTCCTATTTCCTCCTTGATTAAACTGATTTTCAAGGTTACTAGGGGGCACTATTACCTCTCTACAGAACTGATTATTCCAAGTAGCAACTGGGTATCCATTGCCAGATGAATTGAGGAGTGCTAAACACTTGTAAGTAAAAGAGCATATAAATATTAGTTGTTTAAATATGTTATACTACCCCAAATGGGCACAATTCGTAATTGTCTCATTCTTTTTTTTTCCAACACTGATTTCTTTAATTAATTTTAAATTGAAGTATAACTGATATACAACATCCTATTAATTTCGGGTGTACATCATAGTGATTAAATGTTTTCATACCTTACAAAATGATCCCTGTGATAAATCTAGTTACCATCTGTCACTATACAAAGTTATTACAATATTATTGACTATATTCCCTGTGCTGTACATTACATCCTCATGACTTGTTTATTTTACAACTGGAAGATTTTACCTCTTAATCTCCTTCATGTATTTTGCCTACCCTCCAATCCCTCCCCCTTCTGGTAACCAAAGGTTTATTTCCTGTATCTATGAGTTTGTTTCTGTTTTGTTTTTGTTTGTTCATGTTTTTTTAGATTCCATAAGTAAGTGAAATCCTATAGCATTTGTCTTTCTCTATCTGACTTACTTCACTTAGCATAATACCCTGTAGGTCCATTGATGTTGTCACAAATGGCAAGGTTTCATTCTTCTTTATGGCTGAGTATATTCCATTGTTAATGTGTAGATAGATAGATAGATAGATAGATAGATAGATAGATACATTATTCATTCATCCATTAATGGACACTTAGGTTGCTTCCATATCTTGGCTATTTAAATAATGCTGCAAAGAACATAAGGGTGCATATATCTCTTCAAATTGGTGTTTTCATAATTGTCTCGTTATTAGTACAGTTTTGGGAAAAAACAATATTGATATACATCATTTCTCAGCAATATTTGACCTGTATATATTGAGCTGTTCCTGGAGTAGCCACAATACAGTAATGTACAGATAAAATGTGAAAGTTACTCCTTAAATGTGCTCAGTTTACTCTAAAATATATTATGTAAATGCAGACATGTATTTTTTATAAATATTCTCTAGGAGAAACTTCACTATACTACAGAAAAACAAAAATAGCAAACTCTGCTAGTGGCTAATATACAGAAAGAGATCATAAATAATATTTCCCTCAGCAGTATAGTGAGTTTATCAATTAGCTTATAGATGTGCTGGTATAACTTATTATTATACTTAAAACAGTTCTCTAACTTTTTTTTTTATAGAATACATATTTGGGAGCTAGTGATTGTATACTTTTTAGCTTTTAAGAAAGTGAAATGGGAGCACCTGGTTGGCTCAGCCAGTTAAGCCTCTAACTCTTGGTTTTGGCTCAGGTCCTGATCTCAGGTTCATGAGATGAGCCCCACCTTGGGCTCTGCACTAAGCACCAGTCTGCTTGAGATTCTCTGCCTCTCCCTCTCCATCAGCCCCTCCCCCTGCTTGTGCGCACTCTCCCTCTGTCTCAAATAAATAAAGAATGCATAGTAAGCATTTTGTACATATGTATACCGACCCTCACTTTCCACTTCCTTAAATATTTTTATTTTAATTATTTTATTTATGTATTTATGTATTTATGTATTTATTTATTTATTTATTTATTTTTGAGAGAGAGAGAGAGAGACTGCATGAGCATGGGGGCAGAGGGAAAGGGAGAGAGAGAATCTTAAGCAGGCTCCACGCCCAAAGCAGGGCTCGATCTCACAACCCTGAGATCATGACCTGAGCCAAAATCAAGAGTCAGTCATTTAACTGAGCCACCCAGGTACCCCTCCTTAAATATTTTTAAGAGCACAAAGGGAAGCTTTAACTTGAAATTAACTTTCTCAATTGCTCTTTCTTTGCAGTTATGTAGAATGGCAAGGGTGAAAAGAAAGCTCAGTTATGTATAGTAATATATGTGAATTACTGGATATTATAAGGAGGAATTACAAGGGGTTACCCAGTTTAGACTTGGAAAACCAAATAATGGTTGGGGAAACCAGGGAAGACCTCTCTGAGGAAGTGACATTTAAACCGAGATAAACAGAAGTTGGTTTAATGAAGAACAAGAATGTGGGGATGGGAGATGTATTCCAAGCAGAAAATTAAGAGTGACACTCTGAAGCATTTTAGAACGAATCAAAGGGATAATCTTAAATTTTTTTCTCGTATTTAGAACATCCAGGTTAATGTAGCATTTTATATCTTTTTCTCTAATTGGCTAAAACAGAAGGAGAAATAATAGCATAATACTAGGCACAAAGCTTATGACTATTTCCAATAAAAAGTTTCCTTAATGCTTTTAAAGACTAGGAAAACATTAATTGGCTGATCTATGGATATAATATTTAGTTTTTTGGAAATAATATTTTTCCTAATTGAAAAGCCAATACATTTTTACTATGGAAAATTTTGAAAATACAGAAAAGCAATGAAGAAAATAAAAATCATTCATATTCTTGCTAGCCAGAGACAACCACTGAGAGGGTAGTGCTGCTCTATCCCACATCTACATATGTAACAGCATTTTTGTAAATGAAGATTTGTAATTATACATGCAACTTTGTAGTATATACAACATCCTATTAATTTCAGGTGTACATCATAGTGATTAAATATTTTCATATTTGTAGTATGTTTTCTCACCTGACAATATCACGGATCTTTTCCAGTGCTATAAAATTTTCCATAACATGACTTTAATAGCTATGCATAAATAATAACAACTTGGATACTTACTGTGTGCCGGCCATTGGTTTAAGACTTTTAACTTGTATCCACAGAACAATTCTATAGGGCTAAAATCTGTTTCATAAACGAAAGAAATTTTAAAACTTGCCCCAGGTCACAAGCTAATAAAGGGGGGGGAGCTACATAGTAGCTTCTCAATACGGTAATTAATTTACATAAAATGCTGTTTTTAGACCTTCCGGTTGTTTTCTGTATAATTTTTGGCTGTTTGAAAAAATAGGCATGATTTTGTGGGTTGCCAGTCTAGGTTAGGTTCAGCTGGGCCAGCTCATCCCTGTTTCACATGGTGTTGACTGGACTCACATGTCGAAGCCCTTAGCTGGACTGGCTAGACTAGCAGGACTTGTCGGTCTCCACCTGGATTCTCATTCTTAAGCGGGCTAGCTCAGGTTGTTCTTGTGACAATGGCATTCCAAGAAGCAAGAGTGGAAGATGGAAGGCCTCTCAAGGTTTAAACTCAGCACTTGAACAGTAGTACAGCCATCAAATTCCATTGGTCAAAGCAAGTTGCAAGGCCAGCCCAGATTCAAAGTGTGGAGTAATAAATACTACCTCCTGATAAAAGGAGCTACAAAGTATTTCAGGCCAATTGCAGTCTACTATACTCAACATTTAGCTCTCTGAAGGCTAGAATGTATAAGTTGCTTAACTCTGGTAGCTAGAAATGGATATAAATAATTCCCCTAACCATAGATGGGCATAGGCCAAGATGCCTGTTACCTTGACTTTAAGAACTGGCCTCATTCTGAGGAACCTAACCCCGTACCTTCCAAGTTTGTGAAAAAATGTAACCTTCCTACATAAATATGATCCCTCATGTATAGGTTGTGAACGTTTACACCTTTCTGCACAAAAAGTGCAAAGACGTTTGGAACTAGAGAGCTTCAGTCATCAGTCAGGAAAGATGTGCTTATGGTACCCTGACACAACTGTATAAAACGAATGTAAATGTGCTGAGGTAGTTTGGGCTAAGTAGAGCCTGAAGGATAGTAGAGCCTGATAGAGCCTTACATCAGATGCATCTAAGAAGTATGTTTTAGAAGAAGTGGCTGTACAATGAAGATAAGAACCAAATGACAATAATAACCAAAATGAATATAGGGATAATCTATGGGGAAGTTTTTTAAAAATGAAAAAATATGTAACTGCAAGATAAGTGTGCTCATAAATAAAAATGCATATAGCTTGAATAAATAGGTGAAAGGTGAAACAGATGGGAAGGTTGGATGGGAGGGCTGGCTAAGTGCTGTGAAGGAGCTGTTTGAATAATTGATATGAGGGTGAAAGATAATTGGAAAGGAGAAACGTGATTTAGGGCTGCTCTAACAAGCACAGTTTAACTAATAATGATGGAAAGATTATGAGTATATCCATTTATTACCCAGTCAAATGATAATAATGTTGTAGCCACTCAGATATTACTTTCCAAAATGCTAATGCTGATGTTATTTTTTAATCCAATCATACCTGTTGTGGTATATACATATTATTTTGGAATTTAAGTATAGAGGTAGGTTTT